GCAGGGATCCAATTGTAACACGGAAGGACATTAGGGACTAAAACGACATGAGGAAACCTATTCATCGAAGCACAAATCCAATCCCTTGAAAACGACGTCGTTATTATCCAAAAGCAAATTACATCAATGGGAGTTAGGGTCCTCTCCCCGTCGCCGTCCGTCCTCACTCCCGGGCAAGATGGTCCCCACATCTCAGAACACCACAAGAGACAACTGAAACCCACCGTCCATTGCTTATCTCTGCGTACTCCAGAGCTTGTCCGAGGAGAGGAGGAGGAGTCGAAAAACTTGTCCCTTTTGATCTACAGTGGAGGACATTGGTGCACTATAATGCTTTTTGAGTTGAATAACCTGATGAGGTATATTTCTTTCATTATTTTCTTAATCAGTTTAGCATTTTGCTTTTATTGCAGATAGAATTTAATGAAATGGCTGAAATTACTTGAACATGTGAATCACATGAATATGTGACTCATTTGAATTTCTTATGATTCTTGTAACTTACTAGAAATTCTTTGATGGTTTGTCAAATTTGAGAAAATATCAATTAGAGTATTGAGGAAGGTTCTGCTTATATTTTTTAATAAACATAAAAAACTCAAACTATAGTAGAGAAACCTATTTGGTTTTCTTTTTATTTCTTTTTATAGGATGGTTTTACTTATATTTTTTTTATTGATATTGCAATATCTTCATAGTGCTTCCTTAACCATTTTCTCAATAACAACTTTTTAATAAAGTACCCTCTAACCCAATATGCCCAAAAAGTATTAGGTATCTTCCCACGAAGGAAATGAACCTTTTTGGTTTATTTATTTATTTTCATAATTTTAAATTTATAAATTATAATTATATTATTTTTATATTTAAAAGTGATTCTTTTACATTGTGATTTGAGAGTTTAGAATTTCCAATAACATAAGCTTCTCTTGATTAATGAATGTAGATTTCTTTTGAAAATAAAAAATAAAAAATTTAAACTGGTGTCTTTTTTTATTTTTATTTTTTATTTTGCTTTATTAGTTGTTTTGTTTGCATGAATATTTTTTGGTGTTTATTTCTTTAAATTACAATTAAAGCATGTCAAATCTTAATAACTTAAAATGAACCAAACACTTCCTTCACCAATAAATAAAATATTTTCCTAAAAATAATGTAAAATATGAACCAAGCACCGATCTTCAACTTAATAATCAACCACTTCAACTTAATAATCAACCAATTGAGTCTTAAAGCTCATTATTAACTGGAATTTGCAAGATGGAGGAAGGCTTAAAGGGCACCATCACCATTGTCGGTCTTAATTTTTTTTCTACTATTATTTTTTTCCTTCTTGTTCAAAATTTCAGCATTCATTCGCTAGCTTCCACTTAAGGATATCACAATTTAAATAAGTTTTTCAATAGAAAAGGACATACTTTTTTTATTCTCTTTTAATTTTCATTGAATTACTTAAATCACAATTAATATAATATTCTTATTGATGTATGTATTGAATTTTAAGCTAACAACTTGAAAAAAGGTGTTCACAAATATTTTTCTTATATATATTTTTAACTATTTTACAGCTTCATTACAAATAACAAAAAGTCAAAACAAAATTGCGAAAAAGTGAAAGAGGCAATGCTTTGTAACATATATATCACAAGAACATGAAGAGAAATACACTTTTTAAGAAAACTACATAAGATTTTAGAAAAATTTACTCCCATAATCACTGACTTTCCACCGCATCTCATCTAGATATTGATAATATGCATACCTCCATTGCCTACTAATCACTAGAGGACTTAGTACACTCCAAAATCCCAAAATAAACCCAAGTGCGATGCTAATGAACAACCAGTTCACTCCAGCTCCATCAATATCTTTCCCACCATTATTTCCAGTGCCAGGTGTTACATGATTAACTTTGCTACAGTTATCCATGAGTGGAAGGCCACAAAGTTCATTTCCAGCATAGCAAGATGCATCAAAGCTCTGCAATTGTGTACTTAAAGGTATTTTTCCACTCAATTGGTTGTCAGACAGGTTCAAGTAGCTTAGAAATGACAATCTAGACATGCTTTCAGGGATTGACCCAAGCAATTTGTTTACAGAAAGATCAAGAGATTCAAGTGAACTCATGTCACCAATATTTGGAGGGATCCTTTCAGTGAAAAGGTTGTGTGACAAATTTAGTGATTGCAACCCTCGAAGCCTAGTTATTTCCCAAGGGATATCTCCTGATAAATTGTTATTCGACAAATCAAGGACTCTTACCAAATTAAGAGTTCTATCATATTCATAAAACTGGCCTTTCATCACAAGAAATACTTGCTCAATAAAATCTGATGAGCCGTACTGAATGTAGTTCCCAAACGAGCCATTTACAGAATAAACCATGGCACTTAAGTTACTAATGCAACTTGGTAAGCTTCCTGAAAGCCTATTATGAGCAACATCCAAGACTTGGAGAAAATTAAGTGCGCAAAACTCTCTAGGGATATGCCCCGAAAACTTGTTTGAACGTAGCCTCAAGATTGTCAGATCAACAAGGTTAAGACCCATCCATGACGGGATGTTCCCAACCAACTCATTTTCACCAAAATCAAGGGTCTTTAAAGCTGTACAATTTCTCATGGACACAGGAATTTCTCCTGAAAGGTTGTTATTATGAAGATGCAATGATTCAAGGAATTGTAAAGTTCCCAAGCTGCTTGGAATTTCACCTGTAAATCTATTGTTATCTAATACAATGACCCCTAAATTTGGCCACTTAGACCAACAATTTGGTAACTCTCCAGACAAAACATTGTTGCCAAGATTGAGAACATACATTTGATCTATGGGTTCATTCACTCCAAGACACAAAAAATTGAAAAGGGAACCCGACAAAAGATTATTAGAAAAGTCTAAAAACGTCAAATGGAAGAAGATCCAAGATAATGAATCATTGAAGGTAGAAAAACTTGGAAGCTGCCCATGAATTTGATTGTGAGAGAGATTCAAAAAAACCATTTCATGAGAAAAGTCAAAAAACCAACTAGGGATAATACTTGAGATTCCAGAGTTGGATATATCTAAGGATCGTAGGTGTGTCTGAGAAGCAAGCCAATGTGGGAATTGTGGTCCTAAATTCCAAGATCCTAATCCTAAGACTTGAATTTGAAAAGGAGGATTCCAACTAGAATTGACCTTCAAAATCAATGGGTTTCCATTTGCATAAAACACTAACAATTTTGTGAGGTTAAAAAAATGTATTTTTGAAAGAATACCCTCAAAAAAATTATCTGATATATCAACAACTATTAAATTAGAAAGCTGACCAAATGATTTAGGAAGGTTTCCTTTGAATTTGTTTTGAGACAGAACTAAAAATTCTAAGGATGAAAGCTCCCCTATGCATATTGGTATTGAACCAGAGATTGAGTTACCAAACAAATACAACTCTCTCAAATTTTTAAAGTTCCCAAGTTGGTTGCTTAATTGTCCGTAAAGCTGACACCCACCCAAGTACAATGACTCTATTTTAGTAGAAACACACCCAGAAAAGACTTCTAAGACATCTGATATGTCTACACTCAAATTGACACCTGAGAGGAAGAGTGACCTCAAGTTGCAAAGATTTCCTATCGACCTAATTGGGATTTGACCTTCGAACATGTTATAGTATAACCTAAGGTCAACAACAAAGTTCATCTTTCCTATGTCACTTGATATTTCACCTTGCAAGTAATTAAACCCAAGATTTAGAGACTCAAGAGGAGCAAAAGTGTACAACCAATCAGGTATTGAGGAATTGAAAGAATTGTCTGATAGGTCAAGATGCTTCAATGAAGTCAAATTTTGAAGACCATAAGGGATCGAACCTTCAATATAATTTGCAGATAGATCAAGGGAAATCAAGTTCTTGAGACCAAAAACCCAATCGATTGTTGAGAAGTTGTGCAAAAAGTTTCTAGATAGAGAAAGGGTAGCAAGAGATGATAAATTTACACTTGCAATGGGATGGAGATGATGATGGAAAAGTTGACAGGATGAGGAATTGAAAAAATTGTATGACAGATCAAGATACTTTAACAAAGTCAAATTTTGAAAACCGCAAGGGATTGGACCTTCAATATAATTTCCAGATAGATCAAGGGAAATTAGGTTCTTGAAACCAAAAACCCAATTGATTTTTGAGAAGTTGTGGAAAAAGTTTCCAGATAGAGAAAGGGTTGCAAGAGATGATAAATTTACACTTGCAATGGGATGGAGGTGATGATGAAAAAGTTGACATTCGGACAAGTGTAATTCTACCAAGGAAGGAAGTGTATTTAGTACATGAAACCAATTGGAGGCTTGGCTAAGGTTCACATAAGTCAAATCAAGGTACTTCAATGAAGAAAGACTAGACAACCATTGGAGATTCTCGACATGCAAGGGTTTATTATAATAATTATCCCCAAGATTGAGATATTTCAGATTGGAGAGATTTCCAAGGTGGTGAGGAACCTCCCCTTCAAATGATGCGTGAGAGAGGTTAAGGGATCTTAAACTCCCCAAAGAACCAAAAAACTTAGGAATGTGAATTCCTCCAAAATCATTGTTGCTGAGATCCAAATAACTCAAATGCTTCAAATGGAGTAAAGAAGGACTTATCTTACCACCCAGTTTTGATCTCCAATAATACTCATAATCCTCAAAGTCATAGTAGTCATAGTAGTCATCCAAAGTAGGAGCTTTGAGGTGGAGTGCAATGATGTGACCAGTCATGTTGTCGCAGACAATTCCAGTCCATCTGCAACAATCTCCATTGGAATGCCAA